GGTTATAATAGTCTAGTTGGCTGGCTGGTTCGTCCTCGTGCAAAGGTAAAGTCGGTTCTTCTGTTTGGCACAGCACATCAGTCAGCGCTGGGATGGGCTCTGTCGGGTGAAAGGTCCTTCTTCCTTCGGTTCGTCCTCGCTCGTGCTCGGTAATTCTACACTACCGGTACTAACTCCTACAATAGTTGCTCATGTGGTTTGCGGAAGTGGGGAGCTTTCGTTGGGTTTGGGAAAAGGTAATGTTGGTACCGTCTGATGTCTCGAGTGAATAGATCTTGCATTCCAGGTATCGCCTTCTTGTTCTTCTGTTTGCCCATTGTTTGACCATGATATTGGCGTCGTCCTTTTGCCTCTGTGATCATCTGTTCCCCCTGTCGAGCCGTCATTCTGATGGAATTTCTGTGCAAAGAGTGCCGTAGTGTCCATTTGCTCGTTGTTTGTTCTTCTGTTTGCCCATTGTTTGACCATGATGTTGGCGTTTTCCCTTTGACTTGTTGGCGGCCATTTACTGAGGCCTGTCCTGCACGTCGACCCACTGGAAAGGGTGTTGTCTTGCGGTGGTTCCTCTGTGGGGATGGTTCGTCCTCGTGCAAGGTATCGGTAACGGTCAGTTCTTCTGTTTGGTGCATCGCCGTTTGTTCGTGTGTCTTTGTGCTCGGTTCGTACTGTATGCAAACCTTGGCGCCTCAAACCCTTGTCTCTTCCTCGTAGACCTGTTGGCCGTTGACAATGGTGCCGTTTCGTGTTCCAGTCTCATCATCATCAACAACATACAGGTACGGTCCGCTAGCGGACAGCATGCATGCATGACATTAGTAGTTCTTGGCATGACATTAGTATAGTACAGCATGCATGCATGACATTAGTAGTTCTTTGCTCTTCGGAGTCAGCATTCGTGTTGGAAGTGGCCGGCGGCAACACTTTCAGAAGGCTGTCCTCCCACTTCGCTGAACCAAAGTGGCATGCATCCCACAGTTATGTGATTCGCCTTGCAGTCCACGTTGACCAGAATGGGCAAGTGGACCCAAACTACCCGGTGGAAGTGATGGACATGGCAATGGACGTCAATGCCACACATGTGTAATATCTATTATCAAAGTTTCATAAGCACTGCATTAGCTACACGGACATAGTCCGTCCTCGTCGGCTGCTTCCGCGTTGACTGTTCCGTCGACTGCTTCCTCGTCGACTCATGCTTGGTCTCTCGGATATGTATTGCTCCTCCGCCTCGAATTGCTTACGAGAGAGGTCAATGAAGATCTTTTCCAGATTCATTTGTTCCACTGAATAGAACTTGATCCCCAGAGCTTCCTTTTCGCGTTCGAGAAGACCAAAGATGTCGGCCAGCTGGCTTTGGTGATTGCCATCTTCTTGAAAGGGAAGCTGCAATTTAAAGCGATATGGTAACGATTCGTACACTTTGGCGGGCATTCCCTCCTTCAAAAAAGCCTCCACTACATTGTCTTCGGGCAAATCGCTCCCCGTCACCCCGTCTGCCAGAGGGTCAATGCTGATCTCCACAAAGTAGCTTGTACAGTACTTGCCTTGAAGATATGGCAATGTTCCAACAGTGACGATCTCTCCATCAATCATGATTGCGATGGTATCGCCCAGGGTTTCGCACTCGTCCATGTAGTGGCTCGAGAGCAAGATCGCCGGCAAATCATAGTCTTCGTGAAGGGTTTGTGGCTTCAATACATCCCAAACCAAGTGCCTGGCCCCGGGGTCCATCCCGGTGGTGCCTGAAGGAAGAGCCGAGCCCAGTGAAGTTAGTTTCTGTAAAACACTCAGCAACGAAGAACGCATGGCTGTCGTCTTTGAAACCGAATCAGGAAAGTCTACTTACACTCATCGACCATCATCACTTTGGGATAACCAATCATGGCCAATCCCAAAGACAACCGGCGTTTGTATCCACCCGAGAGTGCCGTGGCTTCCTTGTCTTGATGCTTGCCCAGTCCTAATAGATGGACAATGGCCTGGACGTGAGATTGTGTAGACTCCTCTTCCCAATTCAAGCCTCGAATCTGAGCATAGAACTTGAGGTGCTGGAGCACAGTCATGTGGGCTACACAGGAAGGCGAAAAACAACAAACGATCTTTGTTAGAGACATGCGCTGCCACGCAGCAGAGACGGTTCCATCACTAGCTGGGCACTTGAGACTCACGAAACAAGGCATCGAATTGGGGGACATAAGCCACATCGCACTGACTGTAGAGATGTCCAATGTCCTTGGTCTCTCCCGAAGCCACTTGGCCTTCCAACGTAATCTGCCCGTTTTCCGGGGTATGTTCACCAGCCAGGACTCCCATCGTGACAGACTTGCCTGCGCCGTTGGGCCTGTGTACACGTGAAGGAAGAATTGAAGGGTATCAGAGGCGCATGCATAGTACACGAGGGACAAGCATAAAGGAGTTTCCACATTTCTCACCCGAGCAATGCAAAGATCTCATTTTTGCGAATACCAAAACTGACTCCTTTTACCGAGCGTTTTAGAACAGCATCCTTCTTTGTCTTGTCCCCTTCTCCATCAGGGGGCGGTACACGGAAAGCTTTGACCACTTCGCGAGCATTGATACCCAAGTCATCTTGGGTGCTCTTTTCGTGTTGCTCCGCCAGTTCAGGGTTCAGTGATGCATCAATCGGCTTGATTGCATTGTCAGGATCAGTTTTTTTCAGTTTAGTGGCCGAGGGACGCGTCGTTGTCAGCTTGTACAAGAAGACCCACTCGATGCTCCCGATGCCCAGCATCATCACAATGGTATACCAGACGCGGCTTTCCCAGCTCCACACTTGCGCCCACGTCAAGTCTGGGTCATCGAATTTGGTCGATACCTCGATGACTGCGCCTAGCCCTCGTTGGAAGGCTACCTGTGGGACTATACAGATAATGTCTCCAATGATCAAGAGCAAGTCTCGAGACTCGGGCAATGCTTGAAGAGCAGACACCCATGCCACATAAGGCAACGAAACAAAGGTCATGTAGACCCCAGGGAACCAATTCGCCACGGCTTTGTAATCCCCATGAATGAAGCGTTTCGCCAAGATCAGACCAATCGGTGTTGTGCTGTAGGCGTAGCTCAGCATGATGATGACTGTTCCCAACCAGCGCCCAGCATTTCCCATTATTGTTGCCTGCAACCCGTATCCCAACGCAATGACCAGGACGAAGAAGGGGGCAAAGCTGGTGCTGCATTTGTAGAAAATTACACCAAGATATGCGCTCCATTCAGTGATCCCTGCAACTCGAAACAGGGAGATGATTCCGTCGCCTTTTAACAACAGCACATCCAATACGGAAAAGGCAACGCCAGTGAAACCAAAGCCCATGCACGTGGGCAAGATCAAGAGATCCAGACGATAGGGAGTCTCCGAAATGTAGGGAAGCTGTTGGAGCGTAGTTGTTATGCCCAAGATTTGTCCACTGACGATAGCAGCCACATCCGACATCACTGAGAGAGCCATCTGAAGAGCAAAGGGAGTAATCTCAGGGTTATACTGAAGAGTGGAGTTTCCTTCGTAGTGGCCACCAAATATTGGTGGTTCGTAAAAGTACTCCAGCAATCGTTCGGGCTCTTCTGCTGGGGTCATTGGAAAGATGGATATATTCGTATTGTAGTTGGTGACGTTTGGAATCCCAAAGAATCGCATGGGACTTGATCCTCCCATGAACGTTGACAGCGTAACAGGATCTGGAACCACCCGTTCTCCCTTGTCTTGTACCTCCACCAAGGAACTCACTACCATGCCAGCAATCAAATACGCCAAGGGCTGGGCAACGTTGAGAAAGATGGTTCCCTATCGACAACAAAAGGAGAGACACGGGTGAGCAAAACGAGAACCGCAACAGTTAGAACAAAGAATTTCACGGCTTACTTTGATCTTCCAGGCGTTCATCATCATAAAGTTTTGGACCAAGAAGAACTTGCTCAATAAGCTTAGTGGTTGGATGTTGCCCATTGGCTTCCAGATTTGTCGTAACTTTTCGGCAGTGCCGTCTGTTCCGCCTGCTTCGGGGTCTGCTACGTTTTCATTGGTAAAGGATTCGGGGTCCTCGTTTGCATCCTCGGTCTCTTCCTCTGCGTCTTCTTTTCCAGTTTGCAAAAAGACCTCCTCCAACGTCGTGAGATCCAAGGACACATTGGTGGCACCCGCTTCCCCTAATGCACGCAAAACCTCTGGAAACTTGGGTTCCGATCCATGTTCCAATCGCCATTCGTATCGTCCAGGAATCTCCAAGGGCAGAGGATCGGCATCCGCAACCATGGTCGTAATGTCAATAGGTTCGGCTTCGACACTGTCAAGTCCGTATCGTAGAGTATAGCCGACCCCGAAATGGTGTTTCAAGAACAAACTGCTTCCACACGTAATGAGCTTTCCATCCTTCAAAATACCAATCCGGTCGCTAAGGACATCGGCTTCATCCAAAAAGTGCGTTGTCAAAATAATGCTGCGTCCCTTCTTGGCGGCAATAATCATATCCCAGATTTGTCGTCGATTGTATGGATCCATTCCGGCGGTCGGTTCATCCAAATACACCACTTCGGGCGACCCCAACAACGCCAGTGCAATGCTGACTTTTCGTTTCATTCCACCCGAATACGTTCCCACTGGTTTGTCGGCATCGCCCGCCGACGTAAAGGCAATATCGTCGAGTCGCCGTTCCACTTCGTCTCGAATGGCATCCTCGTCCGGTTGATCCGGACTTTGTTTGGGGATGCGTCCCTTGAGTTGTGCAAATAGATACAATGTTTCCCGACACGTCAGATCTTCTTGCAACGACGTATTGTGTTGCGGACACACGCCAATATTGCCTCGAATCACGTCGGCGTGATGGGGATTGTCCAATGCCGCCACGCCATTGGAAAAATGATACGTCACCGTTCCGTCTTGCACGGGTTGTTCGACCGAGAGCAATTGGACGGATGTGGATTTTCCAGCTCCATTGTGCCCGAGGTACCCAAAGACTTCACCACGACAAATATCCATATCGAGTCCGTGCAATACTTGTGTCGGTTGTGCCTTGCTGTCACACATGGATTGGCAACAACCAGGAGTATACGTGTGATGGAGTCCTCGTACTTGAACGAGTACGTCGGATCCGGGTGCCAATGGTTCAAAGTGTTCCGTGGTTGTTGCTTCTTCCGCAGTCGCGGTGGGTTCGTCTGCTTTTTGTTCGCTGTTGTTGCTTTTGCTTTTGTTGTGATGTCCATTCAGGAATGCTCGCACATGCGGCGACGACATGAGCAATAACAGCGTCGTGTACAATACAATACAGGCCACTTGGGCAAAGTACACGCCCAACAATCCCGATTCGGAAACGGTTCCACCCCCCCAATGAATGCCGGTATCGACACCGGTATAATCGTATCGGGCATAGACAGCATAATACTGCAGAACGCCGCAGGTGGGAGAAATGACCGAAAACAAGTAGAGGAGTGGAAATGTAGGACTCTCCACAATGACAAAGGGCAATGTCAATGCCATGCTTCCAAACGCCGTCAACCACGGCATGCCTTGTGCCAATTCTTCCTGCTCAATGAGTTGACTCAAAAAGACAAACAGGCCATTGTATCCCAAAATACCCAAATAATGACTGAAAAACAGCAATGCCCAATTGGATAGTGGCATGAGATTGTAATACACACTGACCAATGTCAAGACTGTCGCCGTCAGAATGCCTTGGATGCCATAATAAACGAGCCATGTCAAGACGTAGGTTCGCAATTTGACGCCCACGAGAACAAAACTTTGGACTTTTTGTGTGACGCGTTCGTTGTGGGGCGTGCCAATCAAAAACATGGCCATAATGGCAGCCGCCAAACAATGCAAGAGTCCGGGAGCAATGACGAGTGCCATATTGGCATTTTGAGCCGACTGTTCCGGTTGAATCAACATGGGTGTCCGTTGGATTTTTTGGATGGTAGGCACTATTCTGGGATTGACCTGGAGTTGCAGTGGATCGAGGTTGATTTCCATATTGACAGTGTTGGGATTATTATTGGCTTGGAGGAGTAAGAGGGGATTGATGTGATTCTTCCAAATGGCTTGATGAACCGCGTATTGGGTTCCTGCCAATGGTGGAGCATAGGGTGTGGCAGTTTCCTTGCCGGGGTAATAGAGTACGACAGAAGGGGGTGGAGCAAACAAGGTATTTTCGTTACTGGCATCCGATGTGGATTGGAGATAGACACAAATATCGGTGTAAGCCGAAGAAAGGTCGGCCAGTTCGCAGTCTTGGGCAAAGACGTCTTGCGTCTGATTGGGATAGAACACAGTTTCCATATTCGAGACGATGGTGGCATTGATTTCTTGTGCTACTTGGAGGGTGAATGCCGTATCATCACCGGCCAATCGCAGTTTGGAAGGAAACTCGAAATCGGCCCCTTGGACATCGAAGAGTCTCACTACTTGTTTGCCCTGACCAATATTATGGAGCACGACTTCATTGGCACTGTCACTCTTGTCGTCGTAGCCGAGAAAGAACCCCACCGTGTAGAGCATGAGCATGAGGGGCAAACCAAAGATCCGACCAAACGTCAACCGAGGCTTTTTACGGTCATTGCGCCAATTCCGCCAAAACAGAATTGTGCCATGTTCCCAGTCAGAAGGAGATGGAGTGGTGGAAGGAG